GCATTATTCTTCCGACATCTGATTTCTTTTTAATTATAGGAAATTCGTTTTTCTACGGTACATAAACCTTTATGTGTCCACGTCGTATCACGAGGATCTACATATTTATTTTAATAGATTTGAATCGTGGAGCAGCCGCATTATAGGAGAGAGGCGCGGTGAAACGAGACGAGATTTACGAGTCAGGTGAGTAAGTAAGGAAAGTGATTGTGTACTCACGATGGCCGCTGCGATGCAACACTATCATCCTGCTGTGCCTGAGGGAATTCCTCGTGGGCGTGTGCCGACCCGCAATTTGCGCCGCTGCCAGATTAACGGGAACCGTGGTTGACAAACAATTGGCCATCGACGGTGCACGACCCAGCTCCTTCTCCTTCTCGGATCGATAGATTTTCCCGATATTCCCCGTCGACACTGCACCTATCGCAGTAAATTGCATCGTCGTTACCTGCTCAGACGCCACTTAGCCCGAAGTATTCGTACTTCCTCGGGAGCCAAAGTTCTTGCATACGTTCTCAGGGAATTAGGATAAATATTAAACGAGTCTAGACCGGAGAGTCTGGTTCGAATTTTCAACTCTCAATAATTAACGAGTGTTCGGAATTACGGTAGTTGTATTAAGGAGTGTGTAATTTTTTTTTTTTAATTATATAGATAATTAGAAAGCGCTTTGTTTTCCCAACCGGTGGCCTGGCGCAGGAACAAAATGAAATTCGAGAAAGTTTGCTCGAATACCTAGCGCTGGCAAACTGACGACCGAATTTCACCCGCGACCGTTCTATTTTCAGCTGAATAACTTTCCTAGGATAGTGCGGTGGTACATCCGACATCGTCCGATTGCCTTGATTAAAAATTCTTATTTCGATTATCGCTTCGATAAATTGCATCGCATGCAGTCTCGCCGTCGATCTTTGCCCACGGAATTATATCTTAATTTTAAAGATCGATCGAGAAGGATCTGAGACTTGCCGGTGACTTTGGTGCTGTGGATTTTCGACACGTTCCCCGCGCTCACGGCGCTGCTCACTCTGTTGTTGTTGTTATTGTTAATGTTGTTGGCCGTGGCCATCGACGAGCCGATACCGTTGTCGCGAACCTGACTTAAATTGTCGGCGCTCAGGGCGGAAGTCACGCAAGGTGCTACCATCGGCACGTCCTGTGGAAAAGAAAAACGTTCGCCTTAAATGGGTCACCTTTCGCTTCGTCAGATTCGATACAAATTACTGTCGAATGGTCCCATTTACGAACTTCGAGATTAATAAAAACTTATATAGATAAAATCAGGTTTTGGAATCGCTGAACAGATTTCATTTAGTTATGCACGCTTGAGTTCCTGCGCATCGCATGTTGCGGTCACTATCATTTCTCGTACGATTAAGTTCGTGGTCAGGCAACCAGTGACACCAACTCTTGTTTGCGTTTGACAATGAAATAATTCTAAAGCCGTCGACTGTGCATGTTATATTAATTTATATGAAAAAGAACGATGTAAAAATTCAAAGTATAACTTAAAATTCTACATAAATTCGAATGATCTTTGTAAACTGTTCTCCAACTGATTTCACCTAGATTATTCCGTTTTGATTTACTTATGTAATATCAGCTTCCTGGGACAAATTGTGTAAGAACTGGAAGGTAAACAATGACACGTGGCACTGGCGATGAAGCTCACCTTGAAATTATCGTAAAAGCTGACAGGACGGCTCCTTGGCGCGTACTGAATCTCTTCGTCGGGTACGTCGGGTTGCATCGTGCTACCACAATACACCGGGCCTAAGGGCTGCGCGCGCACCTCGCTGGCCATCCTTCTTCCTTTTTTCCCACTTCCGGTGTCTGCCGTTCACGGTCGTACATTAATTATTGTTATTTTTACAACAAAAACGTTTTTTATATGATATGAAATACGCATTTGCGATTGGTTTTTCTAGTCTAATTTATAAATTCGATTAACCGTACGGAGTGCTACGAAACGAGACAATATCCGATTTTCCGAGCAGCGGCGAACCGCGACGAAAAATCGAGATAAACGTCGCCTTTCACTCGAGGAAAGATTTAAATTCCTGGGAAATGGTTTAACGCTCGTACCAGGAGGTTTCGTGTCGGCTCATATCATCGTCAAGGTTTCACCTCGCGGAGAAACTACGCCTGTTTGATCTTCAGACCGCGGATCGTTCGACTTCCGGTGAACGCGACTGCCGCGGGCCTGCGTTCTGCGAATATTCGATGGACCGTTGGGGGAATTTCTCTTGATCCACGACGACACGTCGTAAGTCACGCGCGCCTCCCCTCTAGGCCTGCCCGCTGGAGAATCGTTCCTCGATTTCTCTGATGTTCCATCCACGCGACCGGTCACGTGTCCCAGCTATCGGTCACCCCGTAAACGTCTGAAAAGTGAAGGGAAATCGTGAACCTGGGAATTATTCGCGTCGGTTTCCGATCAGATCGATCTGTATCAATTACTCGAGGGTAACGGTATTAATTTTTAATTCGCAATCGTTCGTCGTCGAATGGATTGGGCAACGCGTTCTCGAAATCCGATGGTATCCGGGTAATTTGATTCCGCGTGGATTTCGTAGCTAATTAGTCGACTGCAGATTTTATGCGAAACGAAATATTCGCGACATCAATTTATTAAATGAAATATCGATCGTCGTTTCTTTTATCTTATTAAATAATTTCTGATATTCTCCATAATTTTTCACATTTGTTATCGTTTCCGGATTCCATTT